GAGAGTTATTAACGATCAAACAGTGTGCACATCTTTTTGAAACACCCTATATATCACCAGAAGCGGCTTCGCGCTGGTCGTTAGACTGCTTTCCTTTTCTGCCAAGACAAATTTCTGAAAGAAGTTATGAGCGCTGTAAGTTCGAACCTGTAAAGTTTCAACTGGTGTCAAGTCAGCGATATGCTGCATGAAACGCCAAGTGGGTGATCAATTTACTGACTAATGAGTATCTTGACTACGAGGAAACTAGCTATTAGAATTCCGCATGAATTTTTTTTGTAAAACTTTCCGCTGATTTTATGCCACGTGAGGCTTGACAGTTTGGTATTCAAGCGCACAAAACTTATTTCAGAAACTTTCTTTCCAGAAAAGAAGGCAGATTCGGACAGCGTCCAAGGTTGCGTCTGATATATTAACTTTGGTACCAATGCAATTTGGTATTCTTCTCTTAATATTAGCTAGACGTTTTTGAGGACTTGAGATGTAACGGCAGTATGTCTCGTACAGTGTTTTCAAATGGTATCCTTGCTTGTCTTTTTATCTGTGAATCTACTATGGAAGATCTTCTTCCACATTTGAGAGTCTTGTGTCCTCTTGAACTCAGAAAAGATAGATTTCGATCATTTCTAAACGCAGTTGGGATACCACTGGTTTCAGAATGATGACCTACTAGCTTGTCTAATAAGCGCAGTTGACGCGGAACACTTTGATGATTCTCTGCTTTTAAGCTGTGTGTAGAATCGTTTACTGGCATCTCAACAATAAACACTGAACCTCTTTATTAAGCAAAATAATTCAATTATTAGAAGCGAATCGGTTCTCTGTTATGTACTTTTGGCAATTAAGAAGTCACTTCTGTCATATCTCTACTTTTTTCGTGCTGGCCTGAAACCATAATTTGAGTAACAGTGCCTGCAATTTTGAACTTTGAGGAAATGTGTAAAGCAACGAACCCTTTCTTCTTGCTCATCTTCCTAAACTATGCTTTGAAGATTTAAAGGTTTTAATGAGGGTAATTTTCGCTTACCTAGCACCTGCTGGGGTGGGCGGGGCTGCTTCTACATAACCAGGTATAAGACCTAAACCACCTCCACCACTCCCTAGGACCCTCTCAGCTTTGTCACTGCCACGCTGGGGATGTAGAGGTTTCCTGAATGCTATTTTGGTTTCTTTTGGACGTTTGCCAGTAGAATCTTTTTGGTGTTTGCCGCTGGTATCCTTCTGACCCTTTCCACTAGTGTCTTTCTGATGCTTGCCACTATGATCTTTCAGTGGTCTTTCAAAATCTGGCAATGGTTTTGGCGGCGACGGTCTCGCTGGTGACTTTGGTGACTTTGGGGAAGGCGGAGGGTAAAAGAAGTCTTCTTTTTGTTGTTTTGCGACCGGTGATGGCCTTGGTGGCGGTGAAGGCCTATGAGGTGAGCCTGGAGAAGGCGCTAGGTCGAAGAAATCTTCTTTCTGCTGTTTTGCTTCTGGTGAAGGTGTTACTGGCGAAGGTTGAGGCGTCGCGGGAGAACCTGGCAGCGCGAAGAAGTCTTCCTTATGATCTCTTGCATCCGGCGATGGTGTCGGTGGTGGAGGCGATGGTATCGGCGGTGGAGGCGAGGGCATTGGTGGTGGAGGC